GGATGGGGCGAAAAGAGGCAGGAACCGCGCTCAGCCCTTCTGCTTCCACCCCCCCCAACCCCCGATCGGTTGCCTGCAAATCATTCCCATCTTCTTGAAGCTCAATCAAACAAAAAAAACCCCAACCGAGCAAAGGCAAGTGGATTTGAACATACCAAGCCAGGAGAGCCTGCCCTAGATTTAGCTGCTCTTGTGTCGTCGTTACAGTTAATGAAAAGGCGAAGCTTGGCTTTACCAAAGTGGTTTTCCTCTGTTCTGCGAATCCCCTCATCTCCCAGGCAATCTGCTTGGCCGAAATCACCCTCTCCACCAGAAGTGCTTTGTAATTGCAGTGTTCACCCACAGTTGGCAGGGAAAGTCATTCATTCCCCTCTCTTTGCAGACACTTTCTAAGCTATCTGGAGACTGTTTTAAATCTTTTATCTTTTCTTCTCTGAATTGTACTGGTTATTGATTCCTGATCTTCTGTTGGCTTGTTGTTTCTTGAGCTGTTCCCTAAGGCTTTGCTCAGTGACTGATGGGCGATTAACTTAGGCATTTGCAGACAACACTGAATATGTCATATTCATATATCTGAGTATGAGAGCTTCCCTTCCCTTCCCTTCCCTTCCCTTCCCTTCCCTGCCCGTCCCTTTCCTTTCCGTCCCTTACCAGTTGTTCTTGCTACATTGCGGGCCATTTTTTTTTTTTTTTTTTGGACCGTTTTTCCAGTTTTTCAGGATCCCTGGGATTCTGGTTTCCTCGTTGGCCTTTGTGCAGCCCCTCCCAGGCTGCAGAGGGCTGTCTTGTCCCTGCATGCTCAAGCTATTCATAATGAGCTCCATTTGCAGCCACTGAATTCAAATTGCAGGGCAGGGGGTGTACTGAGCACTTTATGGATTAGAACAGAGAACGTCAAGAGCTCATTGGTAGGAAGTCTGACACCTCAAGGTTTGGTTCAGCCAGGAATGAAATTTTCCCATTTGTTGATTTTTTTCTTCCTTGGATGTTTTCCATCTGAGTTATACTTGTGAGGCGAAGCTATATCAATAAACAGGAGTGTATTGAGCTTCTGTGTGGGAAGGACAATGGTGGTGAGTCAATAGGGGTGCTTATACTTGTGTGTGACTTCCGTAGGAGCTTTGTGGTAAAGGGAAGGAAGTCATAGAGTTCTCACAATTTGGTGCTATTAGGCCAGATGTTTTGCCTATTGATCCTGGGCCTTATAAGTGCAGCAAAGATACAGTTTCAGAGGAGAGAGCTAACCTGATACTCAAGGAAACCCAGACTTAATGATTCTTGATTCCTACTGTTCTTCTAGATAGCTTAAAAGCTGTGACAGGTCATGCATCCTCCATGGTGATGTGTGATGCCTCTAGCTCTTAATGGGACTCAGAAATCAGCTGTGAGCTCTGGCACCCTTCAGACTCCATAGATCTGGCACAGCTGTGGCTGCCTTTCTTTTCATTCTGCTGAAGCAGACCCAAACACAGTTCCCAGAGGGCTGAGTGAGGAAGGATTTCTTGTATGAGAGGAGTTTGGCATCTCTGTTGGACAATGAGATGTGAGCCACCAAAGAGAGGACCTACCAGCTCACACAGCAGCAGCAGCACTGCCATGTTTGAGAGAAAAAAATTGTGTCCTTAGAAAGCCCTTTTCCCTTTGTCCCGTTGTCTGTTAGATCTGATTTGTGGCTGTACAGGTGGAAGAGGCTTTACTGCTAATGTTGGAGGCCAAGGGTGGAAAGGATGTTCCTCCTGGTTCTCACTCAAGAAGCGTTGCTGCCAGCTTTGTTCTGCCCCGATGGCACCCAGAGGAGACCTGACAGAAGGTGAGCACCAAGACACCTGGAAATGGGAAGTGGGAGGGGAGAGGCAGGAAGAGAATCAGGAGGAAAACAAAGAAGCATCAGTGCAGCTAGGAAAGGCACAGAAATGCAAAGTTATGATAAACTTATATACAAGTTTTGGTGTCAGTAGGGTGTGATAGAGCGCAGATTGTTGACTCAGATGCTCCAAAATCTTTGTGCTTGTGATTTTAGCATCAATAAGTGGCTGTATCTCCACTGATCACACTTCAGAGATCCCTGGACAACATCTCTCTGTGTCCTGCTCATGCTGTGAAGCTGGTGGCATTTAGACTATCATGGATACTCAGAGACATGTGAATGTTGCATCTGCACTAGCAAACTGCTTGCAAAGAAAGTCTCTCATTTTCCAGAGCTTGTACAAGTAGTCTTGAAGGTTAGCCAGTGCTTCACGGAGTGGCTGCCCAGCAACAGTAAACAGTACCAGTGGTGGGATGTGATGGATACTCCAAATACTCAGGAAGCTGCTGTCTGTAGAGAGAGCTGCTATGGCATTATTTGTTGTGAACTAAATGTCTTTATTATCCATTAACTTTATGACCTTGAGTGCTTTTAGGGTATTCTCTGATGTTATTGTCCCACAGGCTTCAAAGGTACTGTATATCAAATGTTGAAACTTCCCAACCTGATGAAATCCCTTGATAAGACAGGTATTTAAAAGCATTGGCTGTGTCCTGTCCATTTGGACAAGAGTCATGTCCTGCTGAAGCAGCTGCTCTGCTGGCAGACCCTCTGATACACAGGGACTTGATGATCCCCCAGAATCTCCTGGTCATTATCCCAAAACATGAGACCCCTCTGCTCCAAGAGGAGAGCTGGGCCTGGTGGGAGAACCTGATCAGAGCCTCTCCTGGAGAAGGAATTCTTTGTACCTGCATGCAGCCAGTCATATGGAGCATAGGGCTGCAGCAGACTCAGTGTGCTGAGCTGTTTGGCAGCAGGATTTAAGATGCCAGAGGTGCATTGAGATGCACTGAGGTGTACTGATATGAGGGTGTGCACCACATCCAATTAGCTGAACTAGGAGCCATCTGTCCATCAAGCAGCTGTACCCATCTCTCCCCATCAATGTATGTTAGCCAGGCACTCAGCAAATACAGGTGTGACTGGTGACAATGAGCAAAGGCAAAGACTAAGCCCAAAAGAGGAAGATAAAACTCAAGAGTTGACATTTTATAGCATTTTCCAACCTGATTTTGTAAACAATATAACCTCAAGCTTTTTCAATGAAGTAAAAACAGGCAGTTGTGCCCATTTCACAGATAAGGAAGCTGGTAAAACAAATTTGTCCTTGATTTCTGAGGTAGAAATGGTAGAGCTAGCAGGACAATCTCTTCAGCCCGTCTCCTGCCTTTGTTTTCAAGCAGCTTGTTCTTACAGGAACGTTCCTCTGAGCAAACGTTTTTTCCCTGCCAGCAGCTATACAAATACACTTTCAACATTGTGTACTTGAAATCCTCTGGCACATTTTGTATCCACGTGCAAAGTCAACGACTGGGAGACCAGGTCTGCAGCAGCAGCAACATGCTACGTTACGTGGCTGTGCAGATGCACTGCATGGTGTGCACCAATCGGTAGTGCATGAAGAGAAAAAGCCAAAATGAAGGGAGGATGCATTGCAAGGCAACAGCACTAAGGTGTGTGGACAAAGCTTGGCCTGTCTTCAGGTTAGTTTCCTACCAGTCTCCCAGCTGCCATGTGAAATATGTTTGTTATTACTGCATTAGTCACACAAAATGACACCGCGTTCTTAGAAACCAAAAGAACAGGCTGAGCAGCATGACTAAGGTGCCTTTGTGGAAACTTCCCATGCACTCTGCAAGATAGGCTCTCGTACAGCTCCTGAACTGGAGCCAGGGAAAAGAAAAATAAAGAGGGATAAGCGAGGCTATGAGCTTATGTGATATTCAGAGACTTGGCCTGAATGTATTGTTTTTTCACTTTTTCTCCTGCAAGATAAAAATCTTCTTACTTTCTTTTTTTATATATCCCCTCTTAACATAAGCTCATAATAATGCTGTCGTTTAGAAAACATTCTTTTTTTCTGAACACATTGGCACCAGTTTTGGCAGTTAAGTACCTTTATAACAATCTTTCCCATGTGACTTTAGCAGCTAAACTCCTTCATAATAATGGTTTATAGCTCTTGAACTGGGTTTTCTTCTACGTTTCCAGGAAGTTTTGAGGTTGTCAAATCACATCAAATCGGGTAGTTCCAATAACAAGAACAACAAGAAAACAACCAAGCATCTCATAGATTTTTTTTTTACAGGTGTGGAGCAGAGACCTGAGGTCTCTGTAGGGGTGCACATACTGGAGAAAGACAAACCTGTTGTGTTGATGAGATCAGGTATAGAGAATTGAGCAGTACAGCTATACAAAAAATATGTACCATTTCTTAAACTACTGCAGTCATCATCTTCCCTTCCTTTGGGATCAGGTGAGAAACATTTCAGCCTTATTTCAGCTTTCCTCAGGTGAAATCACTGATCGTTTATACCTGCTGAGAAATAATGTAGCTGCCAGAAGGATTTTCTTATGGGTTTTGTTCGTTGAGCTGTAAAATTCTTGCAGTGGATGTTTGAGTCCCCAGGGTTACTGTTCTTTCATTTGTACCTGAGATAAAGTCCAGTGAGACAACTTGATTTGAGAACCTGTAATGCAGATGGAGCCAGAAGATCCCACCCCTCTCTCACCCGCTGATATGCAAGTCACAGCTCAGGCTTTGCCAGCTCAGTGTTGCTGCTGTCACTCTTTCCCTTCTGCAATTTGCAAACAGCCTGGTGACAATAGTGGGACAGTGCTGTTTGAACAGCCTCCCCAGTCAAGGATTTTCTGAAATAAGTTAGAGGGGTTATTTTTGATAACACAGTGCAAGAGGAGTGGAAAATGCAGCATGTTATGACATGCAGTAAGGCAGGAACGTTTTCTCAGCCAGTCTGGCTGGGTGAGGCTGCAGATGGTTGCAGAGATGAAAGCACTGGCTGCTCTGTCACTTGGCAGGGTGGGCGGCAATGGTGAATGTCCTGAGAGGATCTTGAGAGCATTCTGTGGAAGGACAAGGATAAAGGGACCCTCTTCCTTTTGCACCTCCTTTAAGAGATGCTTATTAACATTGTTTGCTCTCCTACAGGCTCTATTTTGCTCTGTATCTGTAAGGCCCTGTTACTTTGCTGTCACTTCCCTTACTGAAGTGGGAAGACAGTCCTCCTGTGAAGCAAATGGAGCATTTCTTCCAGCACATGCTTTGCAAAACTAAGCTATACCTCTCTTTTTTATCATTTGGTTTCATGTTTCTTGCAGACTGGTTTCATAATTGGTTTCATAATTTCTTGCAGATTACTTTATATTTTCAGTCCAGTCTTCATCTAGCAGCATCTTCCATGCTCTTCTTTTTCCAAATCCATTTTGAAATTTCTCCATTTTGAACAAATCGTTCTTAAATAGATTGCTTCTATTTCTAGCAGAGTCCTATCCTTGTAGAGTCTCTAAGCATATGTTTCATCTGTCAGATGTCCTAGGGCATGCTTTGAGAAGAACATTTGGGTTGAGACTCAGAGACTTGTGTGCTTCTTTGCACAGATGTGGACCATGGTGTCTCACTGCAGGCTGGATTAGCAGTGAACTACATCAATCCTTGGATGTTGTGTTCCCTGCATGAAAGGGTGGTGGGAATGGCTCACAATTAATATGCTGGAAGAGAAACTCGAAGATCTCTTTGTGAACTGGGGGTGACAGCAAAAGCAATAACACAGGTTTCATGTCTCAGAGATTTCCTTCACTTCTAATGACACCTTTGTCTGTGCTTTCTGGCATGCAGCCTTGCATGGGCTGCACTTGCAGAAGGTGCTGTCCTCACCCTCCATCAAAGTCCCTGAATATGTGATGAGTGGGACACATGGTGATGCTTTCACAGTGGGAATACCATAAATTTCTTCACCACGAGCAGCTCCCAGAAAAGCAAATCTAACACCCTCATCTCAGCAGGTTCCCAAGGTTCCTCGTGAGCCTGAGTGCGTCTCTGCTACAAGGCTGCCTGTCTCTGGGGACCATGTCCTTGTTCCCATGTGTCACAGAGTTGCTGGGTACCATGCCCACAGCTGTAGAGGACTCAGGGACATAACTCTCTGGTATGAGGACTGGATACAGAACCATTTCCCCCACTTGGCATGTGCAGGCTGCTGCTGAACCGTAACAACTCTTGTATGGTCACCAAGTGGAAGAAGGGAGGTCTGCTGGATAACTTGGTGTGTGTCAGCAGTTAGTTACATTGCCCTCTCTCTGGATAATATTTTACTCCTGTTTTTGAGGTTTTTGCTGTCCTTGCATGTTACACGCTGTAGAATAAAACATTCTCTCCAACATGGAATACGTTTGGGGAAGGATGAGTGAGAAATCATGGAATACAAATTGATAGAAATCCTTTAATTTTTGCTTTCCAGAAAATCTGATCACAGAAAGCTGTGTTATACGTCATTGAAACTTCCAAAATATGCATTTGTGAAATGTGCAGGAGACTTAGCACTGTGGGCAAAAGTGCTCAGTTCCTCTGAGAGTCAACCCAGTGGGCAGCAGCTGAGAAATTTTCTCTTTGCTGCCAATGAGCCTTGGCTCTGACCTGGGGAAATCTCATCAGGAGAAGTACAGTTCAGATCATGGTTTGGCAAGCCCTTCACTGCATCGGGACTTTGGCTTCCAGGTTCAGCTGGGGGCACAGCATAACGTCCAGCACAGGGCTCTTGCGCAAAAATAGAAATGGGCAATGTGGCATTGTCATGGCTGGTTCCCCTCGACCAACAAGTCTTTTATTCCCCTCCTCAGATCACCATCTTCTACTGAAATTAAAAAAAAAAAAAAAGGTATTGGATCAGTCCCATAAAATCCCTCTTCCCTGCAGATCAAAGCATCAGGGTGAGGGCAGCAGTGATAGATCCTTGCTGATGAGCTGACTCTGGAAATAGGTCAGGAGGCTGAGCAAGATGTGAAGCAGCAGAACTCCTCCAGGGGATGAGAAAACTGCCCTGTGATCTGAAAAGGAAGCTTCCCATGTTCTGGCATTTATTTCTGGATGTGTGCATAGACGATGAGCAGGTAATTATTTAAGGGGATGTGGGTAAGGCTTCACGATCTGTTGTGTGCATAGGAAAGCTAAGGGAAATGCCTCGGGGAGGAATTTCTTGGTGCGAAGGTAATCTGCCCTTTCCGGAGGGAGGGGAGGCACGGCTGGGGCACGCATTGCAAACACAGCCACTGTGCTGCTTCTCTGCGGTGCACAGCAAGTGCAAGGCTGACTGCTGGGGTTAATGAGAGCTGTGGGAAATGGCCCTTTTGCAGGCAGCCTTACCCCGCAAGCACCACCCCTTGTGATTTTTCCAGGCAGAAGGGCTCTGGCGCAGCGTTGCAGGGCTACGGGGGATTACTTATTCACCGTGTACTTGGAACAGATCCAGCCTCTCTGTTACTGCCTCCAGTGAACAAATTCATCAAGTATCCACGAGGCTCACAATCCCTTGAGGCAGGAGAAGACAGGAAGGTGATTCATATTGCAGATCACGCTGGCTCTCCGCGGGGCTCTAGTAAAGCAGAGCCGGCAGCTTTCCTTCTACCGCCTCCCTAACGCTTGTTGGGGTCATTGAGGCAGCAGACTCAGTCCAGATGGATTTCATTGCGGGGGCCATTGGAGGTAAAGAAATAAAGCGGTGCTTTCTGTTGGAATCAGGTAGCTGTGTTTCCTTGTTGCTAAGCTAGCAGGCAGGTTGCGGTGATAGAGATGGGATTTTGCCCACTGGTGTTTCTCGGTAACAGTGTCTTCTTTAATAAGCAGATAACATCACCAGGGTAGAGACCACCCTGATGAAATTTGAGGTCTGCGATCTCCTGTGTTTTTATTTCAGTAGGAGAAAACCAGAGATCAAATGCAATATGCCTTTTGGAGATACAAAACAGTGAGTACTGCCTGGGCAGCAAATCCCGGCACGGCTGATGGAGTCCTGGCTCTGGGCACTGAGGACACGGGAGGCTGAGGATGCGGGGGGCTGAGGACACAGCTCATGGCTTTATGGCAGTGAGGAGGGGCTGTGTGAATGGCATGTGCACGATCGTGGGTGAGAGGTATTGACAGCTGCGGGGTTATTTCTGTGCAGGAGATGAAAAAGTAGGTTAGCCATACTTAAAAATAAATAAATAAATAAATAAATAAAGGAAGAGAGAAAGGAGAAAATCATGATTTAATTTTAGACATTTTTAGACATTTTTAGAGCACCTCAAACCTAGTTTTGTTTTAAACAGCAAAGCACAGGCGCTGGTCTCATTTCTCTCCTGAAATGTGCTTGTCAGATATAGCAGTGTTGAGTATCAACAGGCTTGGGGTGGTCACAGGCCGAGTAGTCCTGTTGGTGGCTGGAAAGTGCAGCCCAGACCTTTATGTTGGATCTGCTGAATTTGGGCAGCGTGATGCTGGCACCAGTGTGCATTTCCTGGGAGGGGCCATGACAGTTTCACTCTACTGCCTTCATTTGCTCATCACTGAACTGTCACAGATAGGGCCAGGTTTGTATCTCAGCAGCAGTCCAGCTCATCCTTCTCCTCTTTCCTTGCTGATCAGGGCATGCAGTGGTGTTGTGAGTCTTGTGCTGGTGCCGATAGAGGAATATTCATCCCAGAAAGATGAATCAAATGTCCTCTAATAGGTGCTGTTAGTGGCTGGACTCAGCTCAGGGAGTCAGTGATGGCTGTGTTCCCTTTGGGACCTTTGCTTTTGTTGGCACAGTTGTAGAGGAACCAGCCACTTAGGGGCAAACTTCTTTTGCAAAGGAATTTAGAGTTGAAAACTCAGTTTCCGAGTAGCCTTCCTGCATTGTTCACATGCCAACTTCTGTCCCCTTATATGGGACAGCTTCCAGGGCTAGAACGCCTTTCCTGTGAGAATGGGATGTTGTTAGTGCTCAGTGTGCCTCATGGCTTGTCCTTGTTAGAACTGCAGCAGTTTTTTGTTCTCCCAAGGAGGCTGCAAACTGATGAAGGGTGTCAACTCAAGAGGTGAGACAATCATAATAGAACCACAGGATGAATTGGGTTGGAAGGGACCTCAAAGCCCATCCAGTTCCAGCCTCCTGTCGTGGGGTGGTTGCCACCCAACAAATCAGGTTATCCAGGGTCCCATCCAAACTGGCCTTGAGCACTTCCAGGGATGGGGTATCCACAACTTCTCTGGGCAGGCTGTGCCAGTGATTCACCACTCTGAGTGAAAAATTTCCACCGAACATCTAAATCTCCCCTTTTTTAGTTTAAAGTCATTCTCCTTGTCGTGTCACTATCTACCTGTGTAAAAAGTTGACATCCCTCCTGTTTATAAGCTTCCCTTAAGTATAGAGTAAGGCTGGGATGCGGTCTCGTTGGAGCTTTCTCTTCTCCAAGCTAGATAAGCCCAACTGCCTCAGCCTTTCTTCACAAGAAAGGTACTCCGTCCCTCTGATCATCTTCTTGTCCTCTTCTGGACCTGCTCCATTAGCTCCACATCTTTCTTGTGCTACGGGCCCCAGGTCTGGATGCAGTACACCCAACTGGAGACTTGCAAGGGCAGAGCGGAAGGGGACAGTCATCTTGCTCTTCCTGCTGGCCACTGCTCTGTTGATGCAGCCCAGGGTATGGTTGGCTTTCTGGGCTGCAAGTGTGCACTGCTGGCTTGCATCAAGTTTCTCATCAACTGACATCCCCAAGTCCTCAGAGCTGCTTGCATTTATACGTGGGATTGTTCTGACACAGGTGCAGGACTTTCAATAACCACTGAATAGCAGCTCATCAGGATGTCCTTCCTGACTGATAAAGCTGACTGAGCTTTCAGCAGGAGGTTGGACTAGGTTCCTTCTAGCATGGATTTTCCTATGATCCTGTGTGTATTTCCTAGCCATGCTGCTGCAGCAGCTCATGGTGCATATTGATACCTAGGGCTACTGATGATGTGTGGATGACTTAGATCTTGTCCTGGGTGCAGAGATTTGGGAAAGGGCAGCTGAGTCACCTGGCACTGCCCTGCAATGATGGCAGAGCAGCCAGGCCTGGGTCACATCCAATCTTCCTGCGTCCCATTTGCAAGGTTACACACTGGTCACATGCAGCCCAGGGGTAGACAAAATAACCTGTCTAGGGAACATGGAGGGAATGTGCTGTCTCCTTGGCTGTACAGCTAAAGCAGCTCTGCTGGACATGGGCAGGCTCACATTACAGGAAGAAGTTCAGCTTGTCTGGAGTGTGGGGCAGCTCTTATGTTCCCAGCTCTTTACAGAGTAAAGGCCTTTTGAAGTCATTCTCTGTAGATCCAACATGTAGTCCAGGCTCCCTCTTGCTCCCTAAGTGTCACAGCTGGGCCTGTTGCAGGCAGGAGAGCTCCAAAGGGCTGCCATTTGCTCTGTGCCAATGCCACTGCTGTGATCCTCCTGCCAGCACCTCTCCTTATTTTAATTTCTTGGTGAATGTGGCCTGATTATGATAGGGTGAAGGATCTAGTTTTGGGGTGTGTTCATGTCGCGGGTTCTGCAGTTGCTGCATAGTCCCTGAGAATCGCTCAAATAAAGGTGTGACAAATGGCTCCCTGCAACCCAGTGAAGAGCATTCTTCTGGTTTTATCATCTCATTTCCCCACAGCCAGTGCAGAGTGACCAAGCAGGAACCCCATAGGACCCCTTTCCCTGTATGCATGCTGTACGTATCTGGCCTTGATCAGTTTTGCCATGCGGACAGTGCGTGTGTGGGTCAGTCTATCTTTGTCCCAAGCTATTAATATCCTGTGGCACTGTGCAGAGCCCTTCTTCCTCACCCTTTGGCAGACTTGGCTGAGCTCCTCAGCACTGAAACCCCGACTGCCCAGAGCGCTTGTGCTCATTAGGTGCTTCGTGGTTGCTTAAGGGTATTGAGAGCTCGCATCACCAGCTTGGTGAATCATTTACATTTGTGCTCCCTCCCAGGTGGAGGCACTTGATTGGTACTGGAGCCAAGGTCAGCAGGAGCCCTTCAGAATGAGATGCAATGGGAAATCGGCATGGGACAACCTGTGGCTGCTGCCCGCTGCCAACTGGACAGGTGGCCCCAGGTGACCTGGTGCACTCTTCCTGCTGGGTCATGCTGCCTGCACGCTTCCCCTCTCCCTTCCAACCTACTCTTGTTTTGGATTGCAAATAAGGAAAGTCGCTTCTTTGCCCACTTTTTAATCTTTATTGTAGTTTTTCTGGGTGCAGACAGATTTTTGCAGAACAACCCTCATTTTCCTGCAAGCTGGGAATGGTTAATTATTTTCATCTGAGCTGTGGACTTCAGGATTGCCTCCTGGAGACTCCCACCAGCAGCTGCTCCTTTTTCTCAAAATGTAGCAAAGCTTCTCAGAGCTTCCAAGCAGCTGTACAATTGCACATGAATGCATCCTGTGAAATGTGAAATGCCCACAGCAACTAGTATTTTTTTTAAGCAGCAGTCAATGAGTGGCCATTTTCAGCTATACACCACCTGTGCCTGCCCTAATGGGCTCAAACAGCACTGGTGCAAATGACTCTTAGAGGTGAAGTTCCACTGCACCTGGCTTGATCTCCAGCCACGTGGCATTGCTATACCAGGAAGAATTTAGCTGCTCACCTCCCTATTCTCTCCTGTGGCAGTGATGCAGAGAGTAGGGGGGCTGAGCACCTTATTGCTGTGTCCATGTTGATACACTTTCACTCTCTGTATAAAGGCAGTCACTTTGTCTGATAGGATTAATATATTTCCAATCCCAGTGCCTATTTTAAGGTCTTGAGATGAGCTGGGTGCTGATGTAGGGCTGACAAATTCCCCCAGCATGCTGGAAATGCTGCTGCGTGCAGGCATGCTGCTGGGCACGCAGCTTAGAGCTAATCCCCCTCTGTGCCTTCATCTTGCCCTGTTGGCCCTCGCACAAGGCTCTCTCCTTCCCAGCCTCCAGACCTTTGATCCTTGCTCTGTTTTTGCAGTGTACAAATTGTCTGGTGCACAAGGAGGATGCTCTTGTCTGAGCTGAGAGTGGGAACAGAGACAGCACATCTCTGTGCATTCCATCTTGCCCTTTCCAGCAGGGCTGCACTGAATCCCAGGGCTGGTGCATGCATGTACCTTCCCTTGTCCCAAGGCTCTATGTTTTTCCAGCCCTGCCTCAAACCGTAGTGTAATTGCTTATGTCAATGCTCACATTCCTCCTCTTAGCATGCTATGTGTTCAGACAGATCTATGAGTTTTGCTGTCATTGTTGGCTCAGACATTGGAGCTGGAGGGTGATATGCTACCAAGAGCAGACAGGTTCAGCAGTTGCATTTTTCTGCAGTTCCCCTCATGACCTCCTGCAGAACAGCCTGCTGTGATGTGTGTTGGTAACTGTCTCCAAAAACCTTTCTGTTTCAGGTGGCCTAAGCACAGCAGTGGGGTATCCGCTGGACACAGTGAAGGTAGCTGTTGGAACTTTACTTCTTGACCACAGTCTGAACACAAATGGGTCATGTCATGTTTTTCTACCGTTGAAAACTAATCCAGTGACTGAAAGTTTCCAGCTTTGTCACATCAATGTATTTCATTTTATTTGTGTACTTCTCTTAAAGATAATGGTAACATTTTGGGGGATGCTTCCTTATGGCTGATTAGCTGCTTTGCTGCTGCAGCATTTGTTGATGGCTTTTAAGTGTGATATCTGCATTGCTAAGTTGCTCCTGTGTTTTTAGGTGAGGATTCAGACCGAGGGGCATTACAATGGCATTTGGCACTGCATTCAAGAAACATACAGGACAGAAAGAGTAGGTACCTCTCATTAGAGCCACTGGCAGGGGTTGTGGACGGCTTTGTGTTTCAGAGGAGCAGTGCTGCTGCGGTCAATCTGTGGAGGACAAGTTGCAGTTGAATACAAGCATTGCTTGGAAGAATAATTAGAATGGGATTTAACTTTGCCAATCATCTGTAGGACGGCAGTAAGTTTAGGCTCAGCCATATGTGGACAGTGTTTTTGAACTTTCTCACACCACTCCCTCTTAAAAGTCTTCTCTGTTTTCAATCAGGTTTTGGGATTTTACAAAGGTGTGTCAGCATCAGTCTTCACAGTGTCGCTGATCTCCTCTGTTTCATTCGGCACATACAGAAACTTCCTTTGTAACATCTGCAAGCTGCGGTACGGCACAGCCGACGCCAAGCCATCGGGGCTGGATGTTTCTCTGGCTGGAAGTGCTGCTGGTGCTGTGCGGGTAGGCAGCAAAGTGGAAAGCACAACAGGAGGACTTGTTGGGGCATGTGGGGCTGGGAAAACACTGATGTTTTCTGTTGAGCGCTCAGCAGAAGGAAGGTTTATTTTCTTGTGAGGTCCTGCCCTGCGACCTTGGCAAAAGAAAGCAAAACAAAAAGGAAGAAAAACAACCTGGGAAGCAAAATTTCCAAGTAGCTCTAATTGTAGATTTATGTAAAAAAAGACGTAAGCTGGTGTGCAAAGCGTAGGCTGGTGTTTTGGCAGGGGCAAAGGGCTGAAAGACCCAGCTAGACTCTGAGGGCTGCCTGTGTGTATTTCATTCCTGAATAAAAGGTTTTAAAGAGGACAGAAAAGCATCTCCTTTCCTGCAACTCCCAAAGGCTGGAGCAGTTGGCACTTGGAGGAATCAATGCCCATGACTGATAGTGATGTGGTGTGGGGTACTTAGGAACTGTTTCCCATAGGCAGATGGGTGCTTGCGGTGTCTGTGAGCATCTGCAGACACTCCAACCCCAGTGCCCTGTGTCAGAAACACACAGTCACAGGCGGTTGGAGGCAATCCTCTTACAGGCAGCCCAGATGGCAGGTCGGTGGGTGTTTCCTAGCAGGTGGTGACTCTACTTAGCGCAGGCTGTTTTCTGATAGTTATGGCCCTAGTTTCAAATACAGATGTACAAAAGAACCCTGATGTATTGCGACATCAGAGAGCTGAGCACATCTCCTTGCTGTGCCCATCTGGTTTCCCAGCTAGCTAACATCCTCTGTGGGTTTCTGCCTCTCCATGCAACCTACACAGTGTAGCAGCTAATCTCCTGGGGCAATTTAGCATGGACAGAGCGAAGGAAGACGCAGCTTGCTGGCTTCAAGTAACAAATAATACTGCCTGAAAAGTGGGAAATGTAATTTGAAGGGTCAGGCAGGAGAGGGAATCCAACGTGCAGCTCAGATGAGAAGATTTAAGCTTCTTCCTCTAATTTTTCAGGTTGTGCTTATGACACCCAGTGAGGTAGCTAAAGTTCGGATGCAGACCCAGAGGAACCCCCATTCCTCTGTCACATCCTCCCAACCCAAGTACCGAGGGTCTCTGCACTGTCTGAAGGTGATCGCCAAGGAGGAAGGCTTTGGGGGTCTCTACAAAGGCTGCTCTGCATTGCTGTGGAGGGATTGCTCCTCTTCTGCAATATATTTCCTGACATACTCTTCTCTCTGTGACTGGCTCACACCAGCTGGGAAAAACAAACCAGGTAGGTACTGGAATGCATCTGACATACAAAAAGGGCTTATTTTGGGAAATGATGTACTCAGGTTGCTGCATCAATAGGAGCTGAACTCTGAGCGTCTGACCTGGCTGAAGTGGGTGAATGCTGTTGGGCTATGTTGCATCTGGTTTGTGTGATGCTGAGGTGGGTTCTGACCTGCACAGCCTGTATGAAGGATGCAAAAAGGAGCGTGCTATGAGATCAAGTGCCTTGTCAGTGTGAGACCACTGGAAACATAGAGCTGCAGGAGCCAAGCAAAGTAACCACTGGAAAACATGAGGATAAAAACAAGTGGGGGGATCTGCAGCCTGTCCAACCAGGATGGCAGCATGGTAGGATATGTAGGGAGGGTCCTAGTGAGAACTAGTCCTGTGCACAGCATGCATGGCCCCACAGCTCCTTTTTCCCTCTCCTGTCCCTCCAACTGCAGTATGAGATTTGAAAAGAGTTAAATAAGTGTCTGGGGAGAATCAGTTTGAGCTGTTGGCACATGCAAGGCTGATCACACTGCTCTCTCTCTGCAGGTCTCCTGGTCGTGCTGCTCTCTGGGGGCTCTGCTGGAGTGCTGGCCTGGGGCCTGGCTACCCCCATGGACGTCCTCAAGTCGCGGATGCAGGTGGACGAGTCGGGACAGCACAAATACAAAGGCCTCATCCACTGCGCGAGAGAAAGCGTCAGAAAGGAGGGGATCAAAGTGCTGTTCAAAGGCCTGGGTTTGAACTGCATCCGCGCCTTTCCTGTGAACATGGTGGTGTTTGTCACATATGAAGCTGTGCTGAGGTTTACAGAGCATTTCACAAACAAAAAATAGCAGATGCAGCTCTAGCAAGAAGCATGTTTTGTTCAGTTTGGTTTTGTAGCCCAACGTAGACATGCACTGAGCTCTCCACTGGAGGGCAGCACATGAAGCAGGGGCACTTCAGCACAGCACCTGTTGACCAACGGCTCTCACATGATTACACACTCATCAGGGAAGCTTGTACTTGTGTACAACCTCTCTTTTACCTTGTTAATGTATTTTGACTGTAGCCACTGCTTAGGCCACTCAAATGTGTGCAATATTTATGCTCCAAAAAACTGCTGGTCTAATTTGAGAATTTGGTAAAGGTTTAATTTTGTTCTCTACTAGCACAGAAAAAAAAACCCAAAACCTTCACTATTGAGGCAGGAATCAAGGGTTTTGTGTGCAATATAACACTATACAACACATTCTTTTTATATGTAGAGCTGCAAGGTATCCACTGAGCACTCTCCATATGTGTGTCTCCAGCCTGAGCAGGCAGGCTGCTCATTCCCAGGTGTAATTCTGCCCAAGTACTCTACAGTTACATCCCTTCAGTAGAGGCTGAAATATGAATCTCTTTCTTTTCCAGTTGTTTTTTTAAGGAGTGGCAGACATAGTCTACTCACACAATCATTCAGTGGCCTCACTGAAAGTGAAAACAGGCATCAATTCCCATAAACCATGTGATTTCTTCCTTCTGGTCCCCTTTTATAAGTTCGTAGCATAGACTTGGCTACACATACAGTTATTTTGTAGCACGCAGGACTTGGCACGCACCCTGGACAGGGAAGAATTAATCTTGTACTAGAAGGGCAAGTTAAGAAATTTCAGATGCTACTAAGAAAGAATAAAGGTGATTTCTTTCAGAGAGAAACTAGTATGAAATTCCAGAACTATCCTCCTGAAACCTAAACATTCAGCTTGTTTTTTAAACTGCATCATGGCCATGCTATCAAACAGCTCCCAGAATTTTTGTTTCTCACAAGTCTGTTAATCTCTCACGTGATCCAATAGCAGCTTTAAGATACTAGACAGGTGCAGAGCATGGGGGGGATTGAAAGATCTGGCACGGAATCTGATTCTATCCCAAAGTGCGTACGGCCTCAGTAACCTGTGACCCACACTTAGACCTTTAGGGCATCAGCACCAAACCTCCTTTGGTTTGAAAGTGCTCACAACAGAAGATTTAATTAAGTCCTCAAGATTTGGAATTTCTCTTAAGACAAATGCTAAGAGGCTTCTCACCTCTCTATGAGGGATGCATCTGGCTGAGGCCTGCCCCGGTAGGGTGCTAACTCATCCCAGCCTTGGCAGAGTGTTTTCTGAAATCAAATTCTTTTATAGAAAATTATTCTCAGCTGACCTTCTCAAGCATTACATCCTGTGAACAGACAGCAAAATACATAGCTCTATGTCAAGCAAAACAACCATTTATTATTAGGTAGTGTTGATACTGTCTGTGGTCAGCCCAAGGCTTGAAAATAAACTCTAATCAGCAGTATCCCAACTTTCTCCAGTAGCTTAAAGCATTCATATGACTAAAAGTGTCTTTGTGGTGGCCATAACTTATACACAGCTTGTTTCAAGAACCACGAATTACAGCTGGATTGGAAAATTAGTGGGCACAGCTGTGGAAGCCAGTGAGAGTAGTTGAGAACAGTGAGCCTCTTCTAGGTACTCAGCATTGTAAAAACTAGGTTCTCCTGGGGCCTGAACAGATAAATACTACATGAGAGGTAAGTTTTATCTTACAGATCTTATCAATTTATTTCAAGAATCTAACTGCTTGCACTGTGTAGTGTGCTACAACCCCTTACTGGAAAAAAAGAAGACAAACCCAATTTACCCAGGGTTTGACTGATGATCTGACAATCTTTAAAACAAGAACTCACAGCAATTTATATCAAGGTGAATTAGCCACCAGGCAAGGGTACTGAATGTGCAAGTACTGGAAACCTAGGCATGTAAATAAGAACCAACTTTTCTTTAATGATGTGACATACTGTTTATATTGTGTACTTAACTCCATATGCAACAAGTTGTTTGCCTTGTACATTTCAGAACTTGGCTGCTCTATTTTCTGATTACTTTGTATTGCCTTGATCTTCAGCTTCTGTATTTGCTGCTCTGCTAATCACAGAACTATTTCTTCTGATACATTATCTATCTGAAGGCCAGCAAAACGAAGACACCATATAGCTCTCTGCAGAGACAATTTCTTTCAGAAACAAACTTGCTGGCTGGCCTTGAATAAAGAAAACTTTCTTTGGAAGGCACATTCTGCTTTCATGTCATTGATAGTTCCTGTTTTTTTTTTTCTTTTTCTTTTTTTCTCACAACGCTTAAGAATATCCAGGTAGGTTTCAGCGTGCCTCTTTGTGACTGGCGGAGCAGTGTAAAGCTATTCACAACTTGTATTCCTTAGCAACTGTAATGGTAGAGTCACATTAAGTATTTTATGTCAGACCTGTGGAAACATTGCTCTAATAGGTCATATTGACCTCTCTCTATTTCTGAGCTGGCTGCTATATAAGGAAATTCAACGCCCAGTCTTGCTTGTGACCTGTTAATCTTTGGAGGACTGGCCCTTATTACCTTGCTCTGGCAGCAATCTGGAGTTTACTTGTTAAGACCAGATGAATGGGGTTATAAGGCACTTTATTTCACTGTTTGTAAGGCACTGGACATCAAAACAGTGATCGACTCCTTGTGATGACTAAACAACAGAGGAAGTGTAAATGAAGCCTTTTAAAAGTTAAATAAATTCAAAAAGCAAAACAAGTTGGATAGACTTTTCACTGCGTTTTTTTAATTATAGTGAGATAAACAAAATATGAACAAGTTGAGGAAAGCATAATCAACATTGACTGATAACTTTTCACCCGTACGTTTGAGGACTGCCTTGTCTTAACCTTTAAATGTCTCTGAGATGTTAATTATAATTACACCAGATTTAAGCATTTACCAAGACTGAGAAACTGTGTCATTTCAGAAGCACATTTTGTAAGTACCCATGAGGGTATGTGAGTAAGATGCTTGCTCGGTAAACAAGTATTAAATTAATTTTGCAATCATTTTCCCTTCTAAAACTTTGGAATAAGATTTTAACTGCTGTGTCAGAAAACTAATCCATGTGCTTCGTTAGAACACTTTGCTGTTTCTTCTACAGCACATTTCCCCTCCCTGAATAACTACATTTTTGGTTAGCGAAATACATCTTGAAGGACAGATCTGCATGTAACATTTTCAAGAAGCAAGTTGCATTACAAGTTTCTAAAAAGCCCTTTAAAATTCATTAAGTCTTATGTTTTGTGTATAGTTTAAAGATGGAGAAGAGCAGATGACAAGAACAGGAAGGTCGTCATTGAAGTCTACTGTAAATATAAATTAGTTTATTTACTAACATCTACAAGAACCTATTTGCTTTTCCTATGAATTGCAACACTGCTTTAAAAAAAAAAAAAACAAAAAACAAACAACAGTGTTTCTATTGACTGTTAAACACTTGTTCATGTTAAGATACAACACCCAGGGTTATGGAGAGGAAGTGGCTGGTAAATGTTTACTTGAATACATTAAAGTCTATGACATTAGATTAGTGGTACCAGGTTACATAAACTGTAAAAATAGGATAAAAGCCAAACATTGCTTTTCAGCTCATATTTGAAACGTGCAAATCAGGAGCTCACAAGAAGGAGAAAGACTGACTTTTTACATGGGCAGATGTCCTGTCACTATAGGACAAGGGGAAATAGGGAGATATAAGTGAAATATTAGATGGAAATTCTTTATTCAGAGGGAGCGTAGCACTGGCACAGCCTGCCCAGAGAAGTGGGTAGTGTGTCTGGAGGCATTCAATGCTGTGTAGGATGGGTATGGGACAGCCTGCAGCAGGGGGTTGGAACTGGATGATCTTTATGGCCCCTTCCAATCTAAGCCATTCTATGAGGATTCTAAGACTAAGCTTGCTTTGCTCTTCCTTCAGTCCCTTGCATAAATATAACAAAAACAGGGTTACTTCATACCCAGCTTGGCACGCATGCATTTACATCTCAGAAATGCAGGTCACTACTGGAAAAGATGTTTATGTGGTGTTACAGAACTACTACAGGTGGAAAGGGAGAAGCTCCAGGCAGAGCAAATAGTACAAATGTGCTACCAGGCTGATGCAAGGTGGCTTAAAGCCAGTAGGAACTTTTACCCTTGTAGCTTCTCCTTTAACTCAAGTGCCATCAGCTGACTTCAAAGGTTCATAGACAACAGGTGGGTGCTGTTTTTTTCTTTTTTTTTTGACCCACACAACAAAATTGTTAAGGTTTAAATATTTCACACCCCATTACATTACCTTCCTTATGTTTTAAATGATTTGCAAATACCGTATATCAATACCCACCAGTGTTATCAAAGGTAATTTTATTTGACTTAGATAAGGCCACGTCTGGGCCAGCAACTGCCTTTTCTGTATAAATAGAAGACAGATCTGACTGCGTGTTTGGAATTAGACATACTAAATCAAATTAGTGAATCATCATTTTTTTTCCCCATCAATCACAGCAAAGACATCAGAGTTCTTTTTAAGTAAGGAAAAATGAAATATTGCATGAAGTTTTTTAACAAAGTGTATTTTGGTGAGAAAGTATATCTTTAAACTGCCTAGTGCAGTAAAACAGGACAGACAACACTACAAGTATCCCTGTGTCCAGGAGGAAATTTGTATTCACTGTATGATCCGACATGTAATATTTTTCATAACTTGAAACTAAAATTTGCATTTCTCTAATATCTTCCACCTGAGAATATCAAGAAAGTTTGTAACTCAACAATAGCCTTCAGAGGCAGTGAGACCAGTTGAACAGATGCAAAAACAGGAGTGAAATTTCTGCATCTTTTTGACAGCTCAAAAATGAAGGCAGTAAGAAAATCAGGCTGGTTTTCTTGTGTACGATTCATAGATCTCCATTCCTTCTGCACTGGTCCCAGGCTCAAGACACCCTGTGATTTGCTATGTAACACTCGCTTTGTGTGTGCAGCATGTTCCCAGTAGCCTCAAGGGACACACTGGCCAGTCAACCAAGTGAAGTGAAACACAATGGAGACTACCAACTATTAGGCCAAGGCATGATTGTTAACCAACATTTCTAAAACAATTTGCAAGTTAGACTTCATAATCAAAATGGCAATTTTATTTATATTTTCAACATGAAATACAGTAAAATACAGTCTTGGGCTGACAGACATGCTTCTCTGTTAGATTAGGTAATTATATCTCGTACAGATTTGATGCCTTAATTAACATACTTTGATTTTAAATAGATATAAGTCCTATTTTAAACTCTATTTTAAACTTTTCCAGGACTCTGATACTCCTTATAAGTAGCTCATTAAGAGCAGTATTTATAAAGCACTGAGTGCAGGCTGTTCATAACTGGGGAGTGATAATATACAGCAGAAGACAACAACTACTCAATTTTGATTAACTGAGTGATGAGTTACATAAACATCTCTTCAAAATTCAAAAGCTAGCTTCCGTGGAGTCATGAATTGCTTCACTACTTCATCTGTGATCTGCTTCCGTCTCTCTTGATGAGCTGCTATCAAGGGCTGCAATGTTTCAATAAGCACCTTCTTCAGCTCCCCTGTGAGCAATTCCCCACTTGTGTATGCCTGTCAAGAAAGTGTTACTTGCTAAATATAATGCTAAACAGAACAAGACCTAGTGATAAGTATTTCTTAAAAAGCCTGGCCAGGGCAAATGAAGATTTGGATGTCTTAAAAATGAACACGTGCCTTAGAAGATAATGTGGTATCATTGAAAACACACCTTGTAAGAATTTCTTATTGATTTTTAAAAGACTGAGGCAGCTGGATAATTTCATGTTTAGCTATATATAATAAATACAAATTGAATTGGGAAGCGATGTAATTATTTGCAGGAAATTGCACATTTTTCTCCTTAACATCTCACTTAAAAAACAAACAAACAGCTTTTTGCAATAAGCAGCTCACATTTTCACTGTTCTCTCATTTAGTTTGGGTAAAGTATGAGATGAGATCAGAGTAAGCTTTTTACGCAGACCCTCATACTCTGTTTAGCTGTCCATATAACGAGTTGGTAATCTGTGCAACTGCTCTGCTCCTGAGAATATTTTCACTAAACAGCAGAGTTTAGCACTGGTTAGAAAACATGGCTATGGCAGTTCAACTAGAATTTGAGATGGCAATAAACTTACTTCCCCCTTCTCATCAGGCCGTTTGTAATAGCAATTCAAGAAAAATACTTTAACAAAAACAAACTGTTTTAATTTCAGTTCTAATTTTTATTTTTTAAAGACATTGTTGCTTTGAGTATGCAGTTCTGAAAGTTATGGTATCATAACTGAAACAGCTCCACTAATGCTGTTGCAAGCATTGACTTCATGTTTTCTAATCTGATTCTGAGGCAGCAGTGCAGTAATGGTGATGGGTGGACAGTTGCATTCTAGAGGTCTTTTCCAATCCTAATGATTCTATGATAAGCTGCTGGCTGTGGTCTAGTCTTTGTGTTCTTGGTCATAAGAATTGTATACTAAATATTTCAATGGCTGGAGCATAATGGAAAATTGCTAAATATGTCAAACACACTCCAAATTTCCATAAGGAAGGAATTTGCAACAGTTTGCAAAAGGATTACTAGTAACTGTCCAACTCTGTCCTTGTTTGGGAAGGAGTAAAAGATTAGAAAAGAATCTGTAGCTATTGCCTTTCTCCTGCAGGAGAAAGCTGATAAACCAATATGATGTGGGCGCTACTAACTAAACCCCCAATGGACAGAAGTCTGCCAGACATGTATAAATGTAAATTATACAAAACAGGTTTTACCCTTCTTGTGATAATAAGACAAAAAAAAAAAAAAAAAAAAAAAAAAGCCACCCTTTGAAGCTTTATTTAGGTACTTTGCACACAAAGAACAGGTGAAGTTTATCATACAATTAAAAACAACACTGATCCTAAGGCAGCATCATTTAAAAAGCTGGGGACTTATGCTCTACAGTGTTGGAAAAAGTTATGAAAATACTTAGAAATTAAAAATATTCACTTGGATAAAAAAAAAAAAATAAAGAAAAAAAGATGACCTGTGAACTTAGTTAAAGGTTTGTCCCCAAGGAAAGGAATGAAGGATATCTTCAGCTTGGCTACTTACTTGTTTCAGTTGTTCAAGCTTGTCATCATCTTCAAGGAAGAAAGTCAGGTACATAAAGGACACATCTACATCACAGTTACCTCCATACTTCCTGTGCTCTTCAATAGTGTCTCTGCCTCCTGAGAAGGCATGCTTGTTAATCTGAAACAATACAATGATTTTACAATTTCTACTAAATTATGCATTGCTATATTGTAAAGAGAGGTATAGCACAGTCCTCTAGCTTCTCTATTAAGGAAGAAGCTGAAGGGTGATTTGAGAAGAGTTAAGGCAGAGCAACAAGACTGAAGCAAGAAAGCAAAAGGCAGTCATTAGATGTCAGCTTCTAATGACTGTGGAGTATATACATATTCCACAGCTTGCATAGTTAGACAAAAATGAAACAAATTCTAGCTAATTTTTGTACTATCAGTTTAGTTGGGAAGGCAAAAGATTACATTTGACAGATTAGCTACATTTGCATAACTATCAATTCCTAAAGATGCTTTGCAATTAGATGTAGAGGGAAAGAATGCAGACATATTCAAAGAAAACATAAAAACGTAAACGTGAGGAGCACCTCTTCCATTTGTTGTAAAGCTTTGTGTGCTTAAGGTTTGAAGATACTTACCTTTGTCTTAATTTGTTTGGGTGTATCATTGAGGAAGACAGAGGAGTTGACATCACTAGCACTCATTTTTGTTTGTGCTCCTTGCAGGGCTGGGAAGAAGACTGAGTGCAGTAAGGCTGGTTT